ATTAATCCCTTTTAGTTGACTATCCTGATCTAACCCGGCTTTATATAAACTGACGCTCTCCCAACCCGATAGTTACATTTGGTGCCGATTGTGTGGATTCATACGCCTGTCATTTTTCAGAGCCGTATGAACAATTTTGATCAACACTTTAGGAACATTATAGAGCACGACCGTCATCATTATTTATTCGGAAAGACGCCACAAGCTATCGATTACCTTTCGAAATATTATCGAGACGACTCCTGTATCGTCTGTTATCCTCCACAAGTTTCTTCTCTGCGATTTCTTACTTTCTGGGCTTGGTTTAGTACTTTTCAACCAGCCTTCGCATACTCTCAGCACGCTATAAGACGATTCGAAAAGTTTAGTAACTTTGACTTTAACCGTATCCCCGACCAGTTATTGAGCTGTTTTATCTTCAGCTTTCGATATAGCGAACGCCCCGACGACTTCCCTGCTTTAGTAAACGAATTTTTAACCGCCTATCAAGAAACCGATCGATTCGCTTTCGACCCTTTAGCAGACAGTTACAACAGCGAAACTTTCGAGAAAAATCTTCCTAACGGTGATATGGCCCAGGATAACGAGCAAATCGATGTACCCTTTCTCATCGACCCTAACGATGACGATCAGCTTCGCCGTGATCAACCCATCCCGATTCGGCAAGATAATCATTTTGGAAACCAAAACGACAATGAAGGGCAAAACGATCCCTTGACACTCCTCGCCCAACAAATAGGCAACCTTGTTTTACAGATGCAGCATGCCCCGCCACCCCAAATCAACGTCCCCGCTATTAACGTTCCCGCCCAGAACCGCGAACTTAGCCTAGTCGCATATCCTGACTTCGCCGGTGGTGAACAGGATCCGATAGCCTGGTTAGAGGATGTAGAAAAAGCCTTTGAAGCTAACCAGGTGCAAGATCAACGTAAGATCCCAGTGGTAATCCCCCATTTGAAGGGTACAGCAGCCACTTGGTGGGTTACTGCCCGGATGTATAGACCAGCAATAGATAGGTGGGATGATCCTGGTAACCAAGCGCAAAGCTTCCGTCCTCACTTCATAACCCAATTTAGGACACCCGCTCTTGAGAGCAAGTGGTTTGCTCAGTTGACTCAACGTAAGCAAGGTCCCACCGAAGACGTTGACTCGTATCATGTTTCTGTCGAAGAACTGCTACGCCGAGTCGAATCAAGTGGTCATCAGTATCCTGGTACAGCGAGAGCTCAAATGTTCATCAATGGCCTTCGACCCGAGCTCGCTACATCAGTAGCCCCCTTCATGCCCGATTCTTTAGCAGCCGCTTATGAGAGGGCTAAAGCTTTCGAAAACTCCTTTAGACAGAATCCCCTCTGCCATAACCCCTACCTCTTCTCCCCCTATGCGTCCTCTTATAGTAATCCCCCTTATACGACGTCTGCTCCTCTTCCCCCAAATACCCCGTTTCCAAACCCTCCTTCGAACATTCTACCTATTTCTCCACCTTCTAAAACCGAAGATGCTCTTGTTAAATTAACCGAAGCTATCAATAACATGATGACAAAGCTTCAGGAGACAAAAGAGCCGCCCCGTCGTGGTCCCAACAATTGGAATACTGGCCCCCGATTTCCATGTAATCGTTGTGGTCAGATGGGTCACTACGCCAGGACTTGCCCAAATCCTCTCCCCCAGAATCCTAGAAATGGCGTGGCCACAGGAAGTAACGCCGTTCCTATCAACCGGAATAATGCCACCCAGAATAATCCCCCACCTAACAACATTAACAATGGAACCCCAAATCAGGGAGGAGTGAACGAAGCCCAGACATTT